GAGGGAAGAATTGTGCACCGCGCGTCACATATTACATTATTAAAAAGTTGGCTCGATGCGATGCCGACTTTCCTAAGAAGGAAAATTTAAGGAAAAATGTATAATAGCCACACGGTTTTCCAACGGTCCAAAACGAGTCGACGTCATATCTTTCGCCTCCGAATGCCCTCAACTTTCCTGGTCGGTTGTAACTCGCGATATCATATTGTAGACAGCATATAACTTATGCATGAAGCTCGCATATGGACTTGAAATGAAGTTAGTGGCGCCCTCTCGCTTACTAACGGATACGTATTATCATCTAAACGAGATGTTTTGCCGCCGTTTTGATAACGAAATTGATAAACTTCCGGAGAGTAGAGAGAGAGCTCATTACCGCACCGGACGACGACGAGAACACTGTTAAACTCCCCGGAGATTTATAATCGCAGAAATGGCCGGAGCCGTCAATTATAATTGAAATATTCTTTTCGCTTTTGGCGAAACAACGGCTCAACCGATTCCCGTCCTCGGGATCAAGATGATGACTTCGAACTGGGCCGTAATTTATGGTTGCACGTTATAATTTTTGAAATTAATATTCCAATATTGTTCTAAAAGCGACCGGGACAGGTCTCGAGTCTGGGCACGAATATTTTACTAGAGCAGATCGCTCTTGATTGCATCGCCGCGAGATATCAATTATATAGATCGTTATTATCCACCACTCCGGGCCCGCTCCTCAAGCTCGACGCACACGATCGTCTCTTTAGGTGAGGCACTTTACATTCTTTTCGCCCACACAATTCTTTCAAAAAGTATTTTGCTACAAAAAATCTTTTATTTATACACTGAAACCTCGATATAAGGCATATAAGGAACAAATTTTTAATTTGCATTTTAACCTGTTTGAATTAATAATTTTATTGCACAAAAATTCGAACTGCATTAGAACTAACACTAGACCAAGAACTAGAAACATTCGGGTTTAGTCGCACATCTCTTAAGACGGCTATACCCGAATGTTTCTAGTTCTAGGTCTAGTGTTAGTTCTACTTTTAGTTCAATAAAAATACAAAACAATCTAGCGTTGAATAACAAATAAAACTAACACTAGATCTAGAAGTAGAAAGTTTCTGCTAAACCCGCGACTTACTAGTTCTAGGTCTAGTGTTAGTTTTAGTTCTTCAATAACAATTTACAACAGTCTAACACTGAATAACAACTAAAATTAGAACTAACACTAGCATTAGAACTAACGCTAGACCTATATGAAGACCTATGTGAGTACATAGTGAGTACTAGACCTATGAATTGTAAAAAAAAGGGAAACAGAAACATTAAAAAAAAATGAAAAACCATCTAACTGGTTTTGAACATTTGCCTTGATCACATATAATATCCGTAACTCAAGATCTCAGACTAAATGTAAAATAAAAGTGTAGAGTAGAAGTAGATGTGGCTAAGAAGCAAGATATTCAAAACATTGAATATGAAAAGTTTTAAGAGACAGGTCAAGAATAAGTTCTTAAAAAAGGAATTCTACTCCATAGATTAATATTTAACAGCAATGAAGACAAACTAATGAATACCTGTTTTCTTTATTGTCATTATTGTTACAACGTTTATTTGACGAGAATATTGTACATTTTGATGCGTATTCAATAAACTTATGATTATTATAACTAGAAACATTCGGGTTTAGCCGTCTTTACCCATTTAGTCCCACTCTGCTTTATATTAAAAAAAATCGGTTTTTTATAATTCTCCTTGAGATAAGATGGAATGAAAAGTATAAATATGTACACAGGCTTTTGAAAAAAAAATTGATTTATGAGATATGAGATGGTGCAAAAATGTAAACCAATATAATAAATAAACCACTGGTAAGATAAATGAACAACAACATAAAAATATTTTGATTATCATTTATTAACTAAGTAATAAATTAGTCAAAAATAAATAATAATAGTAATACAACATAATACTTCGCAAAACACTCTTCATGTAAATGAAACCTAACTTACTACACATATATTGACGCACTATGTCCATAAACGACTATTTCTAGGGCAGTTACCAAATAAATGCGTCTAAACTTGTTTCTGATAATACGAAAGATGATGTAATCCTTTTCTCATCATACATCCCAATAGTGTGTTTTTGCACCATTAATGTTTCAAGTCGTATTTTCAGAATTCATATTTTTATTTCGCGTTTCCAGATATATATCAGGAAAGTACACACTAAAAACTTGCAAATGTCAAAATTTTAAAGAATATTATGCACTAAAAATAGTTTTATTTCCCTTGTATATTTTGAACAGAAATTTTCAATAGAAAAGAATTGATGCAAATATGGTTTAAAAGCAAATTTATTCAAAATTTATTTTGATATATAGCTAGCACCTTCAAATCTGGAAATATATGGCTGTAAAATAATTTTTTGTAATTCGCGACGGTAATGATAGCTATTACAGTACTCAAACGGGTGCTGTAATGAGACTCCTTACAGCATCCGATGCTGTAATGAGACTCCTTACAGCATCCGATGCTGTAATGAGATTTTAGTAACATTTTATGGAACCAGTTCAAGTTGGTGACATTGGGTCATTAAGTTTTGTAGTTGTCAATGTGACAATTTTTGTCTATAGATGTTTAAACACGTTCTTGGCATCGAATACAAGGTCCACAATGATGAGGACATTGAACTCTGAGTAATTTCTCTTATTTTAGAAGGTGTACATGAATGATTTTTTTCAGGTGCATACATTTTCTGTTTTGACAATTTCTAATTGTCAATTCAAATTTCTATTTTCAAGTATTACGGTGTTACCAACTGCTACATACCTATTTCACTACATTGTCAAAATTTATTTTATTTTTGTTAGAAAAGAGGATAAAAACACGAATTACAAAAAATACATAAAAAACACGTTTCGTAAAACTTAAAGCACTCATTCATTAAAAAACTAGTGGCTTCGCCACTCGTTTTTCAACTTGAATTCGTGCATTTCAACCGTGTCTTACGAAACTAGTTTTTTAATATACTATTAAAAACGCTGGGGCGTTTTCACACCAGTGGGACTAAATAGGTTAAGAGACATACGAACCATGTCTGAAGACGCACGGCTTAACCCTAAACTTTCTAGTTCTAGGTCTAGTGTTAGTTTTAGTTTTTCAATAACAATATACAACAGTCTAACGCGGAATAACAACTAACACTAGACCTAGAACTAGAAACATTCGAACATACACATTCGAACTAGAAACATTAGAATGATTCTAGTTCTAGTGTTAGTTCTATGAAAAATATACCACCAACTAACGCTGAATATAAAATAAAACTAGAACTAACACTAGACCTAGAACTAGAAACATTCGGGTTTTTGTACGAAGGATGTCCGTTATATCGAGGTTTTACTGTAATAACAACATTCTTATCAATTTTTATATAAATCTCGAACTTTTTATTATTACCACCGATAAAATTTTATTTACTTAAATATTAGTATTAGCAGTTGTTATTTACAAAACGCTTACGATTTAGGAAAATTCAAAATGATAATGAATCGTTAAAATTCTAAGAATATAAGCCCATATTTCTTGATATAGAAACGACTGAAAATTTGATCGCAATTTCTTTAAAAATTCATCGCCCACACATAGATTTTTATGAAGCACACCCTGGTTGGAAGGATATTCATTATTCTTAAGCCACCCATCGATACTCGAAAATATAATGGACGCGGCCAGAAGTGGACGAAGTATGTGTATTCGTTCGTACGTTGCTGCGTCCGAGTGGCCGATCGTAAATTATCAAGAAAACTGGTTTATCTTGAGCCCGCCGTTGTTTTCTTCACACCTGCGCTCGGGCGATTTTAATATTTAAAAAATTCCCGGTGTTTAACGAGGAAGGAAATAATAGCGCTGCGCATATTTCGCATACTCCGGGCCGGCGGCTTTCGTCCCGTCCGAAAAAGAATCAATCGTGAGAGATCATGGGAAAAGTTACCTGAGTCGAAAAACGGGGCTCAGTCCTGAACAAAAAGTCCGTAATTATTGCCGTGATTAGAGTACTGGAGCGCCGTGGTGTGTGTGGGAATTAGTAATTACAAGTACCGCGGTTGACCGGATAATTTATCGGGCATTTTTCTCCGACTCTATCTCAGCTTGAATCCGTCCCGATAAACAGCCCGGAGTCTGCTCGAGGCCCGACCGACCGAACCTACCCTCACTTATATTCAAAATTATACATTATTATATTTTTTAACAGAAATTAAATTGGTGTACTTAAGCGCTGTGCTCTTTGTTAATTGCCGGGTCGAGTAATTATGCTAATAACCACCCCCCTTACCTCTCGTTCCTATCCCAATAACGGAATTTCTCATCGAATCCGCAAAGTGTTTGTCGTCTGAATCCTTTATCTCCTTCAAGACTCGACAAACGTGGGACAATTTCCTTATTTATCGTCTCACACGCGGCAGGAGATATTGGCTTTAATCGAGAATAAACAGCTGAGTTTTAAAAAATCCAAAATGAACCACCGGGTCTGGGTAAATATTTTACGTAACAACGATTTTCATTTATTGGTTTAGCAATGACGAAAAAAATCATCGTCCGGCAGCTGTATAAATCGGAAATCAATACACGATTGTGACATTAACTCCTTGAACGTGTACACAGTTGTAAGTAGACGGCATCTATACATTTTGATAATAAATCAATTAAAAAAATAAAATAAATCAACTGCGATTTGTTTATATTGGTGTATTAAAGGTGTCGATGTAGAAAATTTCTTTGGGTGGTCCCAATAAACTTGAACTCGAACTCATCGTTGTTCAAACTAATTAACACTTCCACTCGGTTTTATAGCGCCGGGTTTATCGCCTTGAGAATCTTCCCGGGTCGTCTACGAAAATATCACATTCGGTTTTTGAAGTGGTATCGCTCCGAGTACAAATTTGACTACCGTCATTAATTTGAAAGTTGTTTTTAATTTATCTTTGTTTTTGATTTCAGGGCGTCCGGTCGGCGAGCATGTGATGCGCCGCGATGCCAACATTGTCCGCGGCGCCTGAGCACTGTTCCGGCGGCCGCAACGAGCGGCACGAGAAACCCCCGTCCGAGATGAGCCCGGAGCAGGAAGCGAGTCCACCGCCGGCAGCGCCGGGAGCGTCACCGCCACCGGCGCCCACGCGCCTGCCTTCGCCGGCGATGTCCCAACAGGACACCTCAGACGTCGAACAATTCGCCGGGAAGATCGTCTATAATCCGGACGGATCGGCATATATCATCGAGGATTCGGAAAGTGAAAACGAAACGACTCCTACACCTCCGGTTCCTGAAGTTGTGCCGCCCCTTCATGCAGTCTACGTTTCAAGACTAATGAGACAACCGACGAGGGCGTCCGAATTACCGGCCGTGCATAGCTATCGTGTCGTCGCTCTTAGGGACGCTCGACCTCCGAGGCCGGCGTCGGTGCCGGTTAAACCAATTCTAATGTGTTTCGTGTGCAAACTGAGCTTTGGTTTTGCGCGGTCCTTCGCGAACCACGCGCAATCCGAACACGGCGTTTCTCTGAAGGAGAACGAACGCGAAGTGCTGTCCGCGGACTGTTCAGCAATCCTCCAGTGCGTCGGTGCGGACAAAAGGCCGATGGTCTCGCTCTTGGAGCCGCTAGGCGCCGCGCAGCCTGCCGAGAACCATCACAATACCATGCAGGTGACCGTCGCGAATCCGAACGTGGAGACGACGCCCCCACCGTGCTCTACGTCGAGGAACACACCGGGGAAATCGCCCTCGCCTCCTTTCGCTACTCCACCCGCTTTTCTCACCGGCACAACGATAGGAGTGTGTCCGGATCATCTTCAGGGAAGACCATCTGGAGCGGAATGCACCAGATGCGAAATGATTTTAGCATCCGGCCGATTGGGACCTGCCGGATTAGGGAATGTTCACAGTAGGAATTCTTGTAAAACACTAAAATGTCCTAAATGCAATTGGCATTACAAATATCAAGAAACCCTTGAAATACATATGAAGGAAAAACATCCCGAAGCAGAAACGAGTTGTATTTACTGTATAGCAGGGCAACCGCATCCTCGATTAGCCAGGGGAGAAACGTACACGTGTGGATACAAACCTTACCGATGCGAAGTTTGTAACTATTCTACGACAACCAAAGGGAACCTAAGCATTCATATGCAATCGGATAAACATTTAAATAACATGCAAGAACTGCAAAACGGTGGTGCACCGAACGTGGAGGCGAGACAAGCATCTCCAAAAGCTCCTCCAATGCACCATTCCCCCGTCAGCAGTGGCCATAAACCTAAACCAAGCTTTCGCTGTGATGTATGTAATTATGAAACAAACGTCGCGAGAAATCTACGGATACACATGACCTCCGAAAAACACACACATAACATGTTAGTTCTTCAACAAAACGTAAAACACATGCAAACATTATCTGCGTTACACCATCAACAACATCCTCAACAACACATGGAAAGCCTTTATGGAATGTATCCAGGATTAGGAGATAAACCTGAAGCCGCTTTGGCTGATATGGCTTACAATCAAGCTCTCCTTATCCAAATGATGACCGGAGGGCAACTTCCGGGTCATGCTGGTCCGGAAATGACCACCCACTCCGATATGGGTTTAAATCCGGAAACGATGGAACCTCCACCAGAACCGGCGGATCCAGATCCGGATAAAACGTATCAATGTTGCGTTTGCAACTTATTCTCAACGGACAATCTCGAAGATCTCGGCAGGCATTTAGCGCAGGATCGCACTAGACTCAGGGAGCAGGAAATCCTCGCCGTAGTGGCTGGCCACTACGTTTGTAAGCTCTGCACCTACAAAACAAATCTAAAAGCCAACTTCCAGCTCCACTGCAAGACTGATAAACACCTGCAACGACTTCAACACGTAAATCACGTAAAAGAGGGTGGTCCAAGAAACGAATGGAAGTTAAAATACGCCTCTGCGCCAGGAGGTGTTCAAATTCGGTGCAATGCCTGCGATTACTATACAAATTCGGCTCATAAACTTCAACTTCACGCCGCCGGAGGACGTCACGACGCCGGCGTCGCACTCCTGCGCTACCTCTTGGATCGGTGTTCTGTATTAAGATCTGATCAACAACGCGTGTTTCATTGTTCGCTATGTGGCTTTTCGGCCGCAAATCGACTGCCACTTCTTCAACATGTCAAATCATTAAAACATCTCCATATGGAGCAACTACATCAACTGCAAAGGAGGGCTGACGGGAAAGAAACCGGACCTGATATTAGCGAGGTTTTTCACGTGGTACCCGGACCAGTTGAACAACAATTACCTGGTAAGTGAATTATGCAGAAAAACTTGCGTTGAATGATGTTGCTTTAATTGGTTTAGGGAATTTCTTGTATTAGTTTCTTTTATTGAGAGAATTCTATTATTGTTATTTGTTCGTTTATTTTCAGTGACCTAAAATAAAACAATACATTAGAAGTCGTAAAAATAACTAATATTGTGTAATCTTGGGCACAGAAACTAAATGTAATATAAAATATGCTGTTAAATAAGTATTATACATAATAATCGGTTTGTTTTATGTGCTATTAATTTTACGTTACATATAAATTTCATAAATCTTTAAAACAACGTTGAAGTTTTCTAAACAATGTTAATAAAATTTTATGGCTTTCAAGGATTATAGAATTACTTAAAAAAAAATAATTATTTCTTGTTAAAGAATATTGATGAACTGGAATGGAACGTCCAATTTAGCTTTTTTACCTCAAAGTGAGTAATAAACATTTTCTTTTGTGTAACAACAGAAAGTGTCGAGAGGCTGTATATTGACAGCCTGTCGATCTCTGTTCCGTAAACATGCCGGGAGAGGTCTCCCCGTTGAAATTAACGGTATCATCATTGTACTAAAATTCCTCACGACAATAAGAACAATCGGGCACCATTGTTATCAGGGCCGCGGGCGCCGAGGGCCGCCACGCCTCGGCGCAACAGCCGGATGAAAAAATGCCTCTAATTATATATTAAAGGGCTTCGGAAATGTTTTTCGATGCCGGCCAAATCCCTACTGTTATTACCCGCGCTCTATAGGCGAACTCCTTTTTATAAGACATATGGTTTGCCTGCGCCCACCCGAGGGTGTAAAACGCGCGGCCCGATTTCACGTGTGCCCCCACATTATGTAAAGCAATTTCGCATTAACCCGCACATTAAATAGGACATTAAGTCCTCCGGTAAGCGAGGGATACAGTTACGTGTGCACGTGAAAGTTTCTTTTATTCTCTGCTCGGGGAAACGTGCCCGTAATTGACGCTCTCCTTACCAATTTATTACATACTATCCATTGCGTCGTTAGGATACTTTTAGCAAACCTCTTTAAAATACATATAATTTTACCTTTTTTTTTAAATAGACCAAAAGAGGTGTGATCAATAATTATAATTTAGCGAAAGAAAAAAAAGTTTCAGTGCCCAAGATTACATTTTTCGGTTTTTTTTCCATAACTTAACAGCTTAAAACTGTTTCTTTTTCCACTTAGAACGTCGAGATAGCGTAAATTCGGACGCCAATTCGACGGATCCGCTAAAAGACGGCATAAAAACGGAACCGACCGACGACAGCGACGAAATAAAATCAGCCGCGGGCGGAAATCACATGTGCCCTTATTGCGAGTTCGTGAGCGACTCAGAAATGCGTATCCAAGCTCACGTGTTAGCTCAGCACGGTACGAATAGTTCCTCGCAAGAAGTCTTACGCTTGCAGTGTCCTCTCTGCCAAGATTCGTTCAAGGAGCGCACGAGCCTCGAGCGCCACGTCATGCAGATCCATTCGGTTAACAGCGAAGGTCTTCAGCGACTTTTAATGCTCGTCGACCAAAGCCATTGGCTCAATAGCTCATCGAGAACGCCTACGCCAAATAACAACACCAGCAACAACCAAACACCACCAAATCAATCCGTTTCGCCTATGTCAGTTTCGTCGAAAGATTCACAAAAACTGGATAAGAGCGATTCAACACCCATGGATGTAGATCCGCATATATTATCACCCAATAGCGATGATACGGCCGATTCAGAATACGAAAGATGTAATACGTGCTTTAAAAATTTTAAAAATATTGACGAGTTGTGCTTCCATCAGAATGAAACGGGTCACTTAGAGATTAAACAGACACCAGCCGGTCCGGGGTATGTTTGTTGGAAAAAGACGTGTAACCAGTTTTTTCCGACAGCACACGCTCTTCAGATGCATTTCAAAGAGGTTCACGCCAAGAACTCTATCGCGAACATGTCCGTATCCGAGAAACACGTCTACAAATACCGATGTAACCAATGTTCTCTGGCATTTAAAACATTGGAAAAACTTCAACTTCATTCTCAGTACCATCTAATCCGAGACGCCACGAAGTGCGTTCTTTGCGGTCGAAGCTTCCGGTCGCTTGTAGCATTACACAAACACGTCGAAACGGTACATTCGGAACTTACGGACGAAGAACTTGCTGCTTATAAACAAAGCCTCATGAACAACCCCTTGCTACTCGCTGGTTTGCAAGGACAAGTCCTCGACAGCTCGACGAACGATCTCCTCAAAAAGGAGTCGCTTCGAGACGACATGGAGGAGTGCGAGGAGAATAAAGAGCACGATGATAGCAATCAAAACGACGGGGAAAATTCCGACGATAGCATCATCTATAAAGATCAACAGTTCCTAGAGGATTATCTGAATAGTCAGGCGATAGCCGAAGACAGTTACAACGACCCAAATAGAAAATATAAGTGCCACCGGTGTAAGGTGGCGTTTACTCGTCAAAGTTACCTCACGGCCCATAATAAAACTTTACTACATCGAAAGGGTGAAAAGCTCAGTTATCCGATGGAAAAGTATCTCGATCCAAATCGACCTTACAAATGCGACGTTTGCAAAGAAAGTTTTACTCAAAAGAATATTTTATTGGTTCATTACAACTCGGTTAGTCATTTACATAAATTGAAAAGAGCGATGCAAGAACAACAAAATAATAACAATAACCCGCCGGTTTCGCCGGTTATTGGACAAAATCCAAACATGTCGTTAACCCCTAAGAGTACCTCTTCGGAAGAGGACGACAAAAAGAAATACCGTTGTAACATCTGTAAAGTCGCTTATACTCAAGGAAGTACCTTAGATATTCACATGCGAAGCGTTTTACATCAAACGAGAGCGAGTAAACTGCAAGATTTGGCTTTGGCGGGGCAAATAGATTTATCTAAACCGTTAATTGAGCAACCCGAAGCCATGCAGTCTCCGAAACAACGTAGCCCGACACCAGGTAGTGGGGAGAAGAATTCTCCCACCCCTCCGTCACCTGGACAATGTACAGGTAGCCAAGGGATGTTGAGCTGTTCGAAATGCGGGATATTCGTCAGTACGCAAGAGCAATTGACCGCACACCAGCAGCTCTACTGTCTGTTTGCGACTCCAATGGCCGTGTTTCACGCCCAAGATGCCGGCGTCACGGCGAAAAGTCCACCGCTCGTTGATCAAGAGCTCCTGAACAAATTAAACTTGCCGAAGAAGACCGGCTCGCACATGTATAAACACTTGCTCGAGAGCTTCGGTTTCGACCTTGTAATGCAATATAACGAGAACCACCAGAGGCGGCACCGGCCCCAGAGAGACACTGAAGAAAAGACACTGCCGTCGCCGCAACCGCCCGCGGGAAACGGTGCCGACGACGCGGACGCCGCGAGGCCGCCCCTTGAGGAGGACCAGGCCGAAACCGCCCTACCCGAAGTAAGTAGATCAACGTGCCAACATTGCAATAAAGAATTCTCTAGCGTGTGGGTGTTAAAGTCTCACTGTGAGGAAGTACATAAAGATTTAGTGCCACTAGAATTCTTAGAAAAGTATGCTCAACAGTTCAAGAACGAATACGAAAAGAAATCCGTCGTCGTAACGGCGGCCACCTCCTCATCTACCGTTTCCACTCTAAACACCGCCGCAACGAGCGCTGTCCCGACGCCGCCCGCAGACCATGCCACGCCGGAAAAGACCCCCGAAGACGAATCCAAAGAAGCGGTCCAAGCCAAACTTAATCTACATACCCCTCCGGAAGCGACATCGACGGCCCCGTCAACGCCAACCTCTTCGTCAACACCCGTTAGCAACGCCGAAACTTTACCGGCTAATATACAAGCGATGCTTGCTCAAACTATGGCACAGAATCCGATGGCGTTAGCCCAACAAATGTCTGAAATGCAAGCAGCCATAAATGTCATGCAATTACAACAATTGAACTTTAACCCGATGATGCAGATGATGGGAATGGGATTACCGATCGGCCTAAATGCTTTAGCGGCTATGAACCTTCAACCGCCTTTGGTTCCCCTGATGATGCCGCCACCGCCGTACGACCCCATGAACCAATTCAACCCTCAAGATCCGCAAGCTCTGATCGCCAAGCAACAGGCCATTATGCAGCAGCAAGCGGTGAGTAGAACTGATTATTCTCGCGAAATTTCCTTACCTGGTTTCTCGACCCGTCTTTTTTTTTGTCGAATCGTAACACTGACAACCCTTTCTTCCGTGCGCACCATTGTTTTCGCGCCTAAGTACCCCGCCGGGCCGGTTATTGTCTTTCGCGAACCAGGACCTTTTCGGTTTTGGCAAGAAGGCATTTGGGCTAACAAAGGGTGATTGTTGGAGGATGAAAGCCGTAGGGTAGGATGGTTTCCTATTTTGAAGACGTTTTGTCTCTTTTTCAAAACCGATTTTCTTTTCTTTATTTAATTTTATTCAAAGAAACTTGCCGTTTCACTTGCTACAAATACACCTGGTCTCTTCTGTGTATTATTATTAAAAGGACAATGTTTTTAAATTTTATTTTTAAAAAGTAGATTAATAGTTACCTATTACCTGAATTTATTTATTCACATCATTTTTAATGGCAATCGTATTTTCATATTATTACTGCGTACGTATTTACGCCAAGTTTTTTTATTTTATTTATTTGAGTGTGTAATTTTATTAAACCGGTTCGCCCTACGGCCATCCTACTTTTACAGCCCATATCTTTATTTGTAACTCTCGACTTTACGAGCAGGACAGTTTTCTGAATCGCGAGCAGCTCTTTTTGCTGAAACCGGGCCGGTCCTCGGCAATAATAACGTTTCGCTAAAGGAGAAAAACCCGGACCTCTTTGTACGGCCCCTCAGGTCCCTGATATAGTGCGCGGCGCGCGCAAAACGCTAAGTAGTAATTATACATTCTCAGATCTGACAATTACCGCAGACCGGCCGCGATCCGACTCCTCGATTATTTTAATTGCTATTTGTTGCCGGTAACCTTGCGCCGCGATAATTATCGTAATTGATTTATTGCCAATTTGTTGCTATTTATTAATGCCAGCGCGCATCCACGCGCTTTTTGTCAGCGGCGTGGTCCGGATAAATCACTACAAATTATCAATGCCCTTTTCTGTTTGTTTCCCGACAGGCCGTGAACGCGGCGGCGAATCAGAAGAGAGCCAGAACCCGCATCACTGACGACCAACTTAAGATTTTGCGTGCCCATTTCGACATCAACAATTCCCCATCTGAAGAACAAATCCACGATATGGCAGCTCAGAGCGGACTACCACCTAAAGTCATTAAGCATTGGTTTAGAAACACCTTGTTCAAAGAGAGACAACGCAACAAGGACAGCCCGTATAATTTCAATAATCCGCCATCAACCACGTTGAATTTGGAAGAATACGAAAAGACTGGGGAAGCCAAAGTTATTCCGTTAACCAATTCAAGCGCAGAAGATTGCGTTAAAAATAAAACACCTCCTCCATCTACACCAGAACTTAAAACAGAGATTAAAGAAGAACCGATGGAGGAACCTCAGTTGATTAAATGTGAAGATAAACACGATGAACAAGACGATAAATCGTTGGTGTTTAACACCAGCCAAACGTCACAGAGTCCGATTCCACCGATAAGTTCAGTTGACAATCTATCAATGCCAAACACACCTCAAAATAACTTGACTTTAACATCGATCATAGCGTCACAACTGGCAGACACTCTGACCACGACCACCCCCACAATGAACGTCACACCTTCAAGTCCAATGCTACCGCCACCAAAATTGAACCAACAAGTTTTCCCCAGTCCAAACCCGCTACAAGGCATCCTCCCAATGTCAACACCCAACCGATGCCTCAGCCCAAATAGAGACTTCCAGGCGGGCAACTCAGGTAACTCGGTGGGAAGTACCGGAAAACGAGCTAATAGAACAAGGTTTACAGATTACCAGATCAAAGTGCTCCAAGAGTTCTTCGAGAATAACGCATACCCGAAGGATGACGACCTTGAGTACCTCTCAAAACTTCTCAACCTCAGCCCCAGGGTGATCGTGGTCTGGTTCCAAAATGCCAGACAAAAGGCGCGGAAGGTTTACGAAAACCAACCCGCCGTTGAACCGGCTCCTGGAATCGTCGATGAAACGGGAGCTAATCGATTTCAGAGAACCCCTGGTTTAAATTACCAATGCAAAAAATGTTTATTAGTTTTCCAACGATATTACGAATTAATTAGACACCAAAAAACGCATTGCTTTAAAGAGGAGGACGCAAAGAGGTCAGCTCAAGCTCAAGCCGCTGCAGCTCAAATCGCAGCCGTATTAAGTTCCGAAGATTCCAACTCCAGCACAACAATCGAACAAAACAACTCTCAAATACAACCAAACAATAACCAAATTCAACAACAGCAGCAGCAACAACAACAACAACAACAACAACAACAGCAACAACCACCACAACAACCTCAACAACAAAATCAAATCCCAGTAACATCCCAAAGTCCTCTTCAACCCAATCCATCAACTACTCCAACACCAACAAATTTCCCCGCAAGTCCTTTATCAACAACTTCAACTCCAGGCGACACTAAAGAAGGTACCTTTCAATGTGACAAGTGTAACCTCGTTTTCCCAAGATTCGAACTTTGGCGTGAACATCAATTGGTCCATATTATGAATCCCACATTATTTTCCCAATACTCACCCGAATCTGCATTCGGAATACTTCAACAACACGCTCAGTTACAAATAAGCGAACAAGGCAACAATAAATCACCAATGATGAACAACCCTTTAATGAATATGTTAAACAATGTGAACACGCCTAAAAGAAAATTAGAAGATTACGATGGTGAAAGCGACGTTTCCGACCAACCCAAAGACAAACGGTTAAGAACAACAATCCTTCCAGAACAATTAGATTACTTATATCAAAAATATCAAATTGAAAGTAACCCCTCGAGAAAGATGTTGGAAAATATCGCCCGAGAAGTAGGTTTAAAAAAAAGAGTGGTTCAAGTTTGGTTTCAAAATACGAGAGCGCGAGAACGCAAAGGTCAATTCAGAGCACATGCTCAAGTCATTAATAAAAGGTGTCCATTCTGTCCTGCCCTCTTCAAAGTTAAATCGGCTCTCGAGTCACATTTAACCACGAAACACGCTGATCAATGTGCGAGAGGAGAGATCAATATCGATGCGTTACCAGACGAAGAAGTCAGTTTAGAATCCACGCCGAGTTTGAATTCTGGCGTTGATGGTAAATTTCCTCCAAATCCAATCATGCCACCAATGTTTCATCATTTAAATGCTGAAATGGAAAGTTCAATTAAAAAATATTACGAAGAAAGCATGAGAAGGTACATTAGTGAAATCCAAGCTCACGCAGCATCCACAAATGGGGATAAAAGTGAAATTAAAGTTGTCAAAGAAGAAGGCGAAATACCTTTAGATTTATCAAAACCAGTTGATCTCTCCCGGCCAATGAAAGTTAGTATGGATCATGAAAGAAATTTATGTGATCCGGGTCCCTTAACGGATTTAAGTGAAAGATCGTTGTGTGACGAAAGAAGTGATACAATGTCAGAAACGACAGAGTTTTTTGACGATGAAAGTAACCCTACTTCTCCAGCGAGTAGTACTCAAAGTAATCAAAGACCACCCGCCTCTTCAGGGGGCACAAAACGATTTAGAACTCAAATGTCTTCGATTCAAGTGAAAGTAATGAAATCTTTATTTTCCGATTATAAAACACCAACGATGTCTGAATGTGAAATGTTGGGAAGGGAAATTGGGTTACCAAAAAGGGTTGTGCAAGTGTGGTTTCAAAACGCGAGAGCCAAAGAGAAAAAAGGGAAAATCGCCCTTCAAAAAGTATTAGGGAGTACAGACAATGACACACCTCAATTACCAGAAGATTGTAAATATTGTATGTTCAAATACTCCCATAAATATTCCATTCAAGACCATATATTTACGAAAAGCCACATCGCCAATGTTAAATCCCATTTGGAAAACGCGACTAAAGATGGAGTCAACGATGGTGAATTCCAAGTACCTCCGATACCAACACCTTCGGGTTCCATTCCTGCCGATTCCACAACGCACCCACAACAGAATACCAACAACAATACACACCTCCAACTTCTCCAAATGGCCGGTATTCACATGCAGAACAAGGGCAATGAAGTTGACGAGAACAACCAGGAGGCCTTCTTCCAACAGCTGTACCAAATGGGTGCGAATAGTTCCTATGGCGGTCAAAACCAGTTCCTGCAGCACCCCGTCTTCACCGGTAACGGTAAGTCATACTACAATTTCTCATCTCGTTTTGTGGGGTAGTGGGCGGGATTGTTTCCGGCGCGGGGAAATGAGTATTGTTTAATATTTCAAGACTCCCCTTGCGTTTCTCATATGAATTCGTAATGGTTCCTCTGGGTCTCGGCTTTGCTCCTCGGCCCTTGCTACGCGTCTCCATCAATAATAAATCGGGCACGTCGCGGATAGGTTTCGTGTGTCTTGATGGAATACTATATGTGGTTTTCTGACACGGAAAATGAAAGCGTTAATCACATTTTTTTTTTCGTGGAGAATTTATTTTATTTAGAAATAATTGTATTACGGGGAACATTTGTTCTTAATGGGTTTTTGGTACATATGGGAAGCTGATTTTTTATTGACCGTTACGATACTTTTCCAATCAGCTTAGTTGGGTTAAAATCTGGCGTTGCAATAAACTATAAATTATTATCGACAAAAAAGGGTCCGTAACCCCAATAACAGTCATGGTAGTAAGTAGAAAGAGAGTATCACATGTGCTGCTTTTTAGTGAGTACGTTATTAATGAGTCATAGGTTTTTTTTTTGTAACACCCTCGGTGTGGTGAAAATCAACCGCTGTTGCTGCGAATTTGACGCGAAATATGTTATTCTTTTCAATTCCTTCGGTGAAGGATAACCGATCCATCATTTAGAAATGACACGGTGTTTGAAATCATCTCCAGAAATCCCAGATCGCCGATCGAAATCCCCGAGCAGGCGGCTCATTAACAATTCCGGGACCCGTAAATAAACATTGTTCACGTAGATATAGCGTTGGAGCGGGTAAAAATTCCTTCGACGACGAAGATAATGATCTATAGAAAGGACGCGAAACCGTAAATTTCGGAGGACAAAGGCTCGGAGCCCCGAGATCCATTCTGCCCATTTACACTCGTCGACAAACTGAGTTTTGTCACTAATCCCGCGCGGGGACGAGAAGAGAACAGTGACCAGGTGTGTCCTTATACCTTGGCTCGCTACAAAAACCCTCGTGTCCTTTTCTATTACCTGAGATCACTTATCATTAGTACGAAAAATAAAAACATCTGCTTGGTTTTTGCTATACTAGTCCGAAATCTTATCCATTGTTCGTTTGATTTTTGAACATTTTTTAAGAAATATTAGCTCAGAAATATTAGCTATATGGGGGAGCGATTGGTACCAAAAGAGATCTCGTCCAACACCATTTCGACGCTTCGGTATGATTGAATGGCCGAATAACAAGTCATAACTCGCAGTTGGTATGTCATATAGCCATTCCGGACGTATTTTGAATAGCTTGGGTCTTCGAGACGAGTTTATTGAATATCTATCGCGTTCTTAACATTAATAATTTATCAGAATTTCATATCACAATTCTCAACGACCATTAAAACGAAATTTTATTACAAATTTTTAATCGTGTTTCATAATATGAGGTTAGTTAAAATGATTCAGTATATGAGTCTTTGAAAAAAAGTTTCTTTCCCATCGTATTTTGATCGCTAAACACACGTCCTGATTGACACGGAGGCATTAAACGTGAGCCCCGTAAATCGGAGTTAGCAGCAGCGGTCGGCGGTGGCGGTGGCGGCGGAGGGGGCGCGACTCTTTGCTGAAGAGAAGAAAAAGTCGCCGGCACATAGTCACGACGCCGCGTGCCTAGCGGCCGAAAGAGACGGCAAACCTTCGTGTTCGTTGCTCCCGACGAAGACGTGACGATTAGAGGCGTGGCCGGGGAGATTCATTCTACTTTTACAATAAGACAAACAAGCAGTTCGTTACTATAGCTACCGGACTACGCGCCTCCATTGGCGGGGCCCCAGCTGCCTCCTGCATTTACAACTTGATTACCACCAGGATTTTTTCCCTATACATACATCCCAACTTCTACCGGCTCGCCGCGCCTATTTAGACCTTACACTCTAGCTTTATCGTCCAAAAACTACAAAAAGAAATTTTGTTTTCTACCTCCTATAACAGTGATATAGGGTTGAGAATCTAAAGAAGGACAATCACTTTTCATTACTTTGACTCGTTTTTATCCTGGAGTCCATGAACGTAACACCCTGTATAATAAAAGATTCCCAACAAAATGTTCAAGATGTAATGTTGTTTCCAATTTTCTCTTTTACGTTCGTTTCTAATGTATTCTTAGGAGGGGTGGTTCTTATGTCCTATTTGGACGTCGTCGTAGGGGAAAAGGAATAAAAAATAAGGGTTTTTATCGATTCCTCCGGAGGTTGCAGGGCGTCGATCCGGAGAGGAAGGCGTCCAACGGCATCCCTATTAGCGATTTCGGAGGCGCCGGCTAATTGGCCGAGCTTTAGGTGTACACCGGAGGGCGGTGTCGACTAAGACATGCGCTCTGTAAGGGCGGCAGACGCCGCGACGCCGACTCCGACGCCGCCCCCCGTTACATATTTAACGTGTGTGCATTGACGTCATCCCCCAACCCCAGAGAAGAAGCTAATTTATGCCTTCCACTTTTCCATCTTCTAAAAAGATGGTGAAAAATTCTTTTTAACAGGTTGACTGCCCTGTGTACCATGTATTTCTGGTACACATACGTTGGTTTATACAAGCCACTGTATTTGCTTTTTAAGTACTGTGTCTTAATTAATTATCGTACCCGACGTGTCATCATTGCAAGTATGCAACCAATATCACAGTATTGGTATTACAATAGGCAAATCGCGTACTGTGATATTGGTTGCATACTTGCAATGATGACGTCGGGTACGATAATTAATTAATACAGCGTATTGTCCTTGAGGTCATGAGAAGGCCTAGAAATATGTTCTTAGATGCTTTTTATTAATGAATATGAAATCATCTTTCACCAAATTTCCGATAATTCAAAAGCTCCTATCGGTGACAGACTTTATAAGATACAACACCTAATTGATTTAATCGTTACGAAATTTAATCAAGCGCTTATTCCCGAAAAGGTCGTCTTTCCTTCAGGCAATGTATACAAAATAAAAGGCTATGGTGTCAAGATTTTTAAATTATACATTAAAAATTTCTCCACTATATCTGTGTCTAACAAAGTTGTTATGGAATTAATGCAACCATATTTAAATTTTGGCAGAGCACTCTATGTTGGTATAACGATAGTTGGTATAACAGCGTTCAATTCACAGACAATTCATATACGTTCTAATATATTTTTTAATAACCTGTAATATTCGTTGTGCCAGTTGCTGAACTCACCAGAATAGTCCATGAGGCCATAGAATTCATTTCCCCATATAAAAATTGTTGTATGTGTATCTTTCTAAGAGCATCACATATTTGTAGTGTTTTCAGTTGAGTATAAATTTGAAAAAGGAATTGTAATGTGTACTACAAAATAATTTTGGCAACGAAATAAAAATAGCTGTGGCAGTCAACCCGTTAATTTCTTCTTAAAGCTTTAAAAAATTCTTTACCATTTTCTAATCCAGGTAGCCACCCACATAACCCAAAAAAAGAAACACATTTAGCATCAAAAATAACAACCGCCAAAGTTACAAAAGGTTCATATGAAGCAAAAAAAAAAAATCCGCGTATTGTATAAGTTCTTTCGTACCTGGAAGGACAATGTACTTCCTTTAGGAGGGTCGGTGTTAAAAATTACGTCTGTTTTTGTGTTTCTTCGGGGGCTCACTTCGAATATCCATCGGATTAAAATTTCAAAACGTACCACATCGTTTTCTTTTTTCTGACACTCGGTTTCTTTTTTGTCACAGGAGGAGGCGGGGGTGGGTTCTTTTATTTTTCTTCCTCGCTTACACGTGTTGTATGCTAATGAGGCCGCATAATTTATGGAAATATTTCGTCGGAAATCGTTACCTGGCCGGGGAGTGCGTTATTTTTAATTTTTACGGACGTAAACGTATTAATATTCAACGTAAAACCTTTTTTGTTGCGGTCAATATGGATTTTTAAAAGAAATATTTTATCCTTGAAATTATTTGGTTGATAAAACTAACCCCTTTTTCTTGTAAAACCTTAAGCCGTGCGTTAATCAATCAATAACATCAATACATATTTGGAGTTGTGTAGCCTTGGGGCCTCTTCATCATGTAGAAGCGGGTTCTGTTAAACTAACCGTATGATTTAATCACCGCCAAAGCGGAAAGACTGTCTTAACAATTTAGCTACCGAATTAAAAACACGAGAGGAGGAGGAGAAGAAGGAGTTCGGGCGAGGCCGAAAAAGAAGAGGCCCAACACCATGTCCAAATTGCGGCAATTAAAAAGGTCCGGTGACCTTCGGCGGCCGTTTTTTTTTCTTTTGCTTTTTTAATTCTTTTGGTTACTTCACGGGGATTTTTAATTATAAAAGAGAGACCCGTCGGAGGACGACCGTGCCGCCGCGTCCAAAGTGAGCCGCCGGGCAGGAATTTCTTCATTGTTCGTCGCTTTTTCATATAGCAGTTTCGTACAACTGTCCCATAATTGACAGTTTCTACCCTGGATCTATCCAAAAAAGGGGGTCTTTCCTAACTTTATTAACGCGCCGTCAACCACCACCCCTTTCCCTTTAAATTCGGACCGAATTTAAACCGATCGAATTTCTATAAAAAAAAATTATTACCAAACTGATTAAAAGCGATAAATTCTCTACGAGGGATCATGTGGGAACAAAAAACCCTCCCCGAACGTCGCGCCATTACGAAATTTCTATCCCATTAATCATCGCGGTACAATGAGTAGTTAGAGGGGTTTTGCATGAAAAAGTATCTTTTTCTACCCGTAACGGCGCGGCGAATTACGCTAAACGGCGCTCTAACAAAGAAATGAAAGAGGCCTGGTGCTAACAATACTCTTCTAGTTACACCCCAAAAACCTTTAATGAATGGATTTTTCGAACGATACTCCTAAAAACGAGGGATGACGATGATTTAATCGGTAGTGTTACTCCTATAATAAGAGTACAGCACTGATAAAAAATTAAGGGTCCGAAAAAATTTTAAATCTTTTCGTGTGGGATGGCTCCAAAACGATAAACTATA